CGCGCGCTCAAGAAGGAGCTGCGCGTCGTCCGCGAGGAGGAGGCGCGCAGGCGCGAGGACTGCCTCGCAGACCTCAAAGCCAGGTGAGCAACTACACATCAGTCCTTGTAGGAAGGGAGGAACGTGTGTTGTACTTACAGGAATGTCGCGATTGAACACAATTGTATTATTTGGGCACTCAATGTCTCGAAATTAGGACGCGAGGACGGGAGGACTGCCTCGCCGACCTCAAAGCCAGGTGAGCGACTACACCAAGTCCTTGTAGCCACCAGGGAGGGGCGGGGCCAGTGCCTGAGGGGATGACGCGATTGAACACAGTTGCATTACTGGAGCATTCAATGTTTTATAACAATCTGAAGACAGGACGACTGCCTCGCCAACTTGAAGTCCAGGTGAGCAACTACATCTAAGTCCTTGTAGCCACCAGGGAGGGGCGGGGCTAATGCCTGAGGGGATGACGCGATTGAACACAGTTGCGTTATTGGAGCATTCAATTTTTTTTAATAACTACATCAAGACACTAGGACTGCCTCGCTGATCTCAAAGCCAGGTGTGCCGAAGCTAAATTAGATCGAAGTCCATGTAGTCAGGGAGGGGCGTGGCTAGAACTTGGTGAAATGTCGCGATGAGGAAGAAAGATTGGGCATTGTTTTTTTATTGGAGCATTAAAATGCATTACAATAACGAGTAGCCATGAGAACTGGCTCGTCGACCTAGCCAGGTAAGCTCCTCTGGGCCTAAATCCTTGTAGTCAGGAAGGGGGCAGGCTAGAACATCGCGTTGAGGAAGGAAGCTCGAACACACAGGATCGCTGAATACATAATAACAATGAGAAGATGCGAGGACTGTCTCACCGACTTCAATGTCTCAAATTTCTCCTAGTCTTGAGTTCATCTGTTCTGGGAGGCACGAGGTACAGGGGAATATCGTGATGAGAAAGGATGCATGAACACAGTTGCTTGACAAGAACACTCAATGAATAATAACAAGGCGAAGGCGGGTGGACTACCTCGCCGAACGCGAAGCACAGTAAGCAAATGGGCACCTGGATCAGGGTTCATGTGGTTAGCGAGGGGCGTGGCTAGGACTCCGCGGGATATCGCGTTGAGGAAGTTGAAGACAGCTGCTTCTTGGAACAGTCAATGCCTAATCTTGCTAGCTCTTGACGTGTACCAACGTGGAAATCAGAAAATGGTGCCACACAGATTCGGTGTGTTTTCGATCTCGGAGTCGGACGCAGGCTCGGTAAGGACGGACTGTGCTTGCACTCAGGACTGCTTCGCACCCCAAATCCGTGAGGAATGTACCTTGGGATGCTGGGACCGGAAGTGGGTGGAAATCGGTTCGGTCGTCGAGCCCACCATGCTATGGACTGGAGCGCTACGCGACTGAACGTAGGCACTCTCCCTCCCATCAGACATGGCCTCGAGTTTGTTTGGGACTGGGGATTGGATTAGTTTTGAATCGGACGCTGATCTCATGTGATTTTTCCGGACCAAACAAAGTGGTGCAACAACAGTGTTCGTTTGTTTTCATGTAGTCTCAGATTTATAATTAAGTATTCTTACACTTGTGTTAATATTTACCTGCTATCATTATTAAAACTATTCACCGTTATTGAATGTTCACTTATGTACGTATCAGTAGGAGAAGCTTTGATATCCCCCTTTATCGTCGGAGAAAAATGCTGCACTACTTAGTAGGTCATTCGTAGAGATACAACATACTTCACATCTAAATTTCTATTCTGAATCTACATGTGATTAACAGACTACTTGCAAAATTTTACCCATCCGTTCTGACTACAGAATTTTTGATTTGACGCTTTCAGATGGAATTCTGTTTTCTGATAGAATGCAGGTGTGAGACATAGATTTCGATACCAGTTAGAGGATGTAAAATGTCAAATGTAAATGTCGCTATATTATGACCATCCAAAACGGAGACCTTCAAATGGTGTTAATTCTTAAAGAAGCAGTTACAAAACCTGTCATTTCCAGAATTTGCGTCGTGTTTTAAGCACTTTTAATATTTGTCTTCTTATCCATTGATGTATTTATAAATGTACGTCTGAAATGCCTACTTTTATTTACAACGTGCGCTAGTGCAAGGTGAGCTAGTAAATAACTTTACAAATCCTTACAAGCTCTGTGTACCCCGCACTGGCGCTCACTGAGTTCATAGGTTCATCAAACAGATATTTTGAGCGAGTGGATGACCTTCAATCATTCAAATATTATTCTCGAATACTTTTATTTGTGTTTATCTTTATTATTATGACGTGCAGTGACGCATATTCTCATTACATAGCCTTTTCGAATATACGTGAGATGAGTGATTTTTATGGATGGATAATGGTTGACATCCATGATATAAATGATTAAGTATTGTTGGAATTAGAATCAGGGAAAACGAAAAAAACATCTAGATAAATAGTCGATAGTGAGATGTGCGAGGTGAGCGGTCTGATCACTAATATCACAGTTAGACATATGTGTGCTCAAAAGGCCGCGATCCCTCTGAGGTGGAGGAGCACTAACTCTAGTACGTTATTTTTGAAAGTACGTTCAGTGTCTGCTTTTTTTCCTTTTTAAGCTGACGCTTTGAGAAATTGATACGTAACTTTTGGCGAAAGGACTCTTCAAACCACCTGTTAGTTGGTCAACCTACAATGAATTGTTTTTATTATTTGTATTATTAAAGTTATAATTTCATTATCCTTGTAAGTTTTATTGATTTATTAGTAACATATGTGAATAAAAACATTTAATAGAAAAGTGTGACCAGAGGGGGCCAAAAAATTATTTCTTCCCTCCCTTCTTTTAGACTGTGCACACCGATGTCTTTAGAAAATTTAGTATGTTTTCTGTTTCACTTGTATTCATCAATACACCTTAGTAAAATTCTTAGTGGTTATTTGACGATGCGTTAGTTCTTGTCTGCCTAAGTTTAACGGTGTTGGTAAATTTTGAGGTGTGTGTTTGTGGTCATCCTTACGACATGTTTGCACACATTTCTGGACGTTAACAATACCATAATACTTTATTTGGCGTAAAGTAATTTGCAATAGATTGTAAACGTGTTCTTAGACAAGCCCCCTGAAAACGTCGGACACCGAAGATTACCGTCATTGTGATTTCCACTCAGGGTTTTTCATTCTTCAGGCAGGATTTTTAATGCACTTACACTATTTTTGCTCAATGTTTACTATGCTGTGTTAAATAGATCCATTTTAGCTGTAGGAGCTGTTGGAATGATGCTTATTTGACGCATCTTCAATTTCTCAACAAAAAAACGCTGCAAATGTTTTCTTCGTTTTTTTTCCCAAGGATAGAACGAGGAACGCTCAAATTAATGGTGTAGGTCTCATTTTCGTTGAACACTCTGATTTTTCGAAAATTACAAAGTTTACAAATAATCCTAGAAAGTATGTGGTCTTGGAATCCACATGTTTTAATGTGGTTTTGTGTTATTTCGTGACTCTCCTCGATAATTCTTTTGTAAATTCTTTAGTGACAGCGCTAATTATTTCGTAAATTCAATGAGTGGTTTTGTGAAAGTGAATTATCGAACTTGATGGGTGGGGCACACTGCAACTTCGCAAAGACTGCTGGCTCACGGTTTACTAAAACAAGTATTGTTCACTATTTTCAATAACACACACCATCACATTCATTCATGAATGAATGAGGTAATTGGTGGTCACATTCATTCATTATCAGTACGTTCAATAGCGGTTGGAATGCGCACAAATTCACTTTGCAATTGCAACTCTATTCATAGTCGATGAATATGATTCATAGTCGAAGCTTAACAGTACAGTGTATAGTATAGTTTGTTGTAGTCTCCCTCCGATCATACACGTTATTTGTTCAATTGCTTTGGTTTGCATACCCTATTTCCATTAACTCTCTTGTTTCAGCTACTGTTGTCAGATTTAGTAAACCAGTGAGGTTGTAACTTTGTCAGAGCTTCAGGGATCATTCTGATTGAGGAGATTCGATTAAATGTCCTGTTTGTGAGTGATAACATGTATTTACGGTCGTTTAGTATGAAAGTATGAATTTTCAAAATACGACACGTTGAATTATGGTTATTTATGAATACTTGGCGTATATTTCTTTGCTACTATGAGAATATTTTCTACTGTGCATGGTGTCAGTGTTATTACACAAACCCCTTCCTGCACTTAGAGATGGGAGAGAGGTTGCGAGACGTGAAGAAGGCATATTTTCTCAATGAACCAAAGAAAAAATATTCTTCCAAAACATAAAAGAATAAAACTGGGCAAACAAAAAATAGTTCAAACTTAAAGCAAAAAAAATTAAAAATGAATAATAGAATTTATTACATTATTGAACGTTTTTGTCAAAATCTGTAAAAAAAGATGATGAACATTTTGAAAACTGAGAGTACGTATACTTTCGACGTCCCACATCAGATTTCACCGTATAAGCAATTTCATTCTTGGTTTTATCATAAATGAAAAGCAACTCATTATTGAATAGTCGTTTTTGCCTGTTACCCGACCTCTTTAAAAATAGTACAAGGTCCTTCAATTTTTCTTTGAAAACTTGGGTGATACTTTTTCCCCACAATGAAATGGTATGCAAGCACAAGCTTGAGTGCACCTACATCTTACTTTTATGTTTCTAGATAATGTAAACTGCGTAATTTTATTACATGAACGTAAGAATGTGGGAGCTTATTTTCTGAAAAAAATGTGCCACTTATCAATTTATCATGTATTTCTCACCGTAATATGAAAATGAAAGTATATTCCTGTGTTCCCTTATTTGTATAAAAATGAGAAATCTTAAGATGTGGAAATTAGAAACTACGAACGATTACAAGTTGCTTGTTGCACAAGAGTATCGCTTTTTCATAATGGAAAGTATTTCATCAATTATTACAAATGCAGTTTAGTTTTGAGAGAATTATAATATTGTTTCTCTGCACTTAAGGTTTTTTGAGTAGATAATTTTCATATTAGAACACACATTTTCAGGCAAATTTAAAGTAGGTCTATTGTTCCTAAGAAATATATAATTGTCTGTAGAGACACAACCGTAACCCAAACTTTCCTATGTTGCGTGCTCATTCGTGAAGGGAACTTTGCGAAGTCTGAAGTTAAGTTTTGCGGCAGAAAATTATCTCCAACTTAGAGGGTGTGACAGGAAGCGTGCGGATGTAGATTAAAGCTGGAGCATTCGTTTCCGCTGCGTTTGCAACCAAACTATCGTATGATGAAGCGACTACACACTCGTGAATGTATTAGGAAACATTTAACTTCCGTTGCAGGGATATGATCTGCATATACACTGGATGGTTAGTGACTCACCTGTAAGAAATTTGTTTGAATTAATATGTGTCAAATAATCCTAAAGGAGATCTTAAATAGTTTGACCGAAATAGCTTTAGAAATAATTTACGTGTGTAAATAAATTAATGTATTGTTCTTCAAAGATGCATTGTTCTTAAGTAATCTTTTTGACAGGAGTATTCAATTGTATTCAATTACTTTTTTGAAGTAAATTAAAGAATATAGCTCATGTATTTACGAATGTATTCCCATGAATTTAAAACAAGTGTTAAAACTGATTTATATTTTCATAAATTTCAATTTTGAACTTTCCATCTAAATATTTATTTAAATTTGGTTTGCTTACCTTGTTGTTATGTAAGTAAGATAATAAAATATAACTTTGAAACATTAATTTCTTTTCGATATTTAAGTAAAATGAGGTAAGTTAGCTGAAGAGCATTGTTAAAAGACGTTCTCTAGTGTCCGTCGTCACAATCCGTTGCAGAAAAG